TTTATAAAATAAGATGCTTAACAGATAACAAAAAGTAATTCATAATATTTATAATTTGAACACATGGGTAGAATGTTTTTTTTTCATATATTGACAAAATTATAGAGAACTAACATATAAATCTAGATTACGATAATATGTAATATCTAATTGCAATATTTTTTTTAAGTTTGTAATATGGCCCATTAGTTTCACATATATACATGTTAATATTTTTTATACAATTAATAATACATAATTAAAAAATATACATATTAAATTAGGATGTGTTTAAGTATGTTAAACTTATGTTTAAAAAAATACCAATTAAGTATAAATAATCGAATGATTAAAAAACGTAAGGCTGAATTTATGATAATTTTTGATATTTTAGATGTTGTAAATAATATGATTATTAAAAACCTATCAAATAACTATAAGTTAGTTTATTCAATATAAAAAAAAAACAATTAATACTATTTTCACCAGGAAATAAAATGCTTAGTCTAAACAATTGTAATCGGTTCGTATTGCAGTTCAAGGGAAAATTTTAGGGATGAATGGAAGAGTACAAATCAACGTAGCCCTAAACCTATCGATCGAATTGACGACAATCTGATATGGCTCTCTACAATTAATCACATGTATGAAGGAAATTATTGAAAGAAAAGCGATGGTCTCATTCAATTAGTGCAGACATACGTAAATTGTTCAAATGCATTAAGCCCTAAACCTATCTATCGGGTGAGTTTGTTTTCTTATACGATTACTTACCTGTTATTGTGTGTTTTGAATCTGAAGTTGTAACGATTAATGAAAGTATATCGTTACCGGCGTGAATCAGGCGAAGAAATGATGAATCAGATGAAACTATGAAGACGAAGCAATGATGAATCAGACAAACTTGTAGAGGCGAAGCAAAATGCTAAAGGCCAAGCAATATATCGATTTGGAGGTAATTTAGAACCCCAAAAAATCTCATTTTTTTAAAATTTGAATTATAATTTCCAAATTTCACAATCGATTTTTGTTAACATTGATTTTTCAACGACTAATTTAAAGCTATACTTTCCTAGTATACAGGGATTATTTTTAGGTATGAATAAAAGGAAAGCGGTGGTAAAATTTTGATGTTTTTTTTTTCAAAACAATGGTAATTTGTGAAATGTAAATTTATTTGTTTATTTGTTTGTACGTTTGATGAGTTATACCAAATGATACTAATGATAGCTGATAAAGTTTTGTTATTTACACTACTTAAGAGTACCCAAAAGGGCATGAGCTTCATATTACAAACAACATGAATTCAGGTATGATTTTTATTTATGGACCTAGATTTGTTGCTCTTTCATTTTTTTAATCATTTCCCGGTCTATCTAATCTTCGTCCTCTCTTCTTGTCTTGTACTTACTGTTTGGCTTCATATCCGCTCATATCCAGGAAACAACAAATCAAATTCTGGTGTTTGTGTGTTTTTAACTTTATGTAATCCTTTGTATATTAGGTAATGATACAAATATGTATATATTAGATAGCAGATCCGATACATTTGTGATGAGGTTTGATTCTTAGTATATAGATTAGATACAATCCCTTTAATCAAGGGATATACTTGTATATATTAGTATATATTCAAATTAGGGTCAAACCTTAATGTCGGTCGTCTTGGTGACCGTCTTTGTAACAATCCATTTTCTTGGTGAAAACAAACCCTTTCTTAGTCAAAGACAATTTGGTGAATCCTATTTGTTCTTTATTTGCTTAGTAATTTTGTTCTTGTATATTATACTTGAAGTGTATCCGATCGACACAAACCTTCACTATGCTAGATGAACGATTTATACATGTTTTACTCGATTTAAATTGTATACATATTTTGATACCTATAAATATATTGGGTAAATATGGATAGATGAAAGATGATATAGATGATGAGAGATGAAAGATGATATAGATGATGAGAGATGAACGATGAAATAGAAGATGAGAGGCCTTGACTTTAAAGATGACGTCATCTAGTAGAGTATAGATGAAAACCAAGCATTATTCAAGACAGTCCAGTGAAATGTTAACAGGTTCACAACCTGTAGGTGTTTTTGAACCATGTGTTCATCAGATGTACGCTAAAAACTCATTGAAATGTATTGTGGGTAGACTCCCTAAAATAATATTGTCAATAAACCTGGCAGCTATGGACT